CCGATTTCCTCTCGGCCCATCTCTCTCTCTCTCTCCCTCAGCACTCCCCTCGCTCTGCCCGTGCACCGCGTGCGCGTGCGCACGCGCGTGAGCTGATGCCGAGCCGATCTCTCCCTCTCTCTCTCGTTCTCCCGCTCTCCCTCCCCGCTCCATCCCCGGCAAACTCCCCGCGCGCCGTTACCTCGCGCGCGCGCCCGCGCGGTCGCCGCTCGTCAGCCGCCTGCTGCCCGTGCCTGCGCCGTCCGGCCCCTCACCCTGCCGCGCTGCGCCGCCCGCGCCGCGCCCTGCCCGTGAGCCAGCGCGCGTGCCCTGCCGCGCCTGAGCCCGCGCCTGCCGCCCTGTAGCCGCGCCCTTCCAAACCGCCCCCGCCGTCATCACCGTCGTCACGACCCGGCCCCGCCACCACCGCGCATGCTTCCAAGGGTTGGAGGCAGAGCTCCTCCTCCCACTGCCTCGTCGCCCTCTCCCTCCTTCCTTCTTTTCCCAAAGTGGCAAGAGTCAAGTCTCCTTTCCCTCTTTCTTTTCTTCTTTTTCCCCCCGCCAGCGTCATCCTCCCTGTCGTCGTTTTGGCCGCTAGTCGGAGAGCCAGCTCGCTGGCTTGACCGCCCAATGTCGGTTCCTCCCTCCCAAACCGACATTGCCGCCCTATAAACCCGAGCCCCTCCCCAAACCAATCTTCCCCGTTTTCGCCCTCGCCATTGCCGCGCCCTGCCCTGTTCGCCGTCGTCGCACGTGTCGGAGGAGCCGGCACGAGCGAGGACGCGTGACGTGGACTCCGGGCGCACCCTCTCCTTCCTCTTCCCCGGCCCGAGGCCGGAGCGATCACGCCCCGCACCGTCGGCCATCGTCATTGCGCCCCTTCACCCCGCACGGTAGTGCCTCCTCCCCGTTCTCCCTCCTCGTTCGTCCTCTTCCCCTTAGTTTTCGGTAGAAGCTCGTATAGCCTCCCCGTAGATAGCTGGCGCCGCCCCGACCGCTACCGCCGCTCGCTGTGTACTCGCCGCCATCACCGCCCGTGCTCCGTAGCGCCCGCACGTCGCCGGCCTCTCTTGTAGTGTCTCCGTCTAATCCGATGCTAGAAACGGACTACGGTGGCCGCGTAGATGCTCTAGTCCGGAGGAATCGAACCCTAGTCGCGTCGTTGCCGTTTCCCTCTTTTCTCGCCGCCGGTTGCCGCCGCCGCAATCCGCCGCCGTCGAACTCCCTCCGGCGAATCCGAGCCATTGGCTCGTCTCCCCTCGTCTCGTGCAACCACCCGGTGTGCTCGCTTTTGCCTGTATCGTCGTGGTTCGTCCCGCCATTTGCAGCCGCCGTCCGCTGTCCGTTCCGGCCGTCGCCTTCTTCAACCTCCCGCCGGCCCACGTGGCAGCCACGTAGGCGCCATGTCGGCGCTAGCTCAGCCAAGACTGGGTCAAGCCGACCCCGGTCCGCCGCTCCCCTCTGCCCCGCTCGCGCGCGCGGTCCACCATGAGCCGTGAGGCTGCGCGTGGGCCCGCCGCATCCGCACCCACCGCGAGCCGCGCGCGTGCATCGTGCCCCGCTCCAAACCCTAGCGTCGCGTCACGTGCTCCTCGCTCACGGTGAGCCGAGCCGCCGACAAGCGGGTCCCACTCGGGACCACGCGAGATGGATCCGGCCCACCTGCTCCCTCTCTCCTCCCCTCCCGCGCGTGCCTTGGGCCGCCTTCTCGGGCCGGCCGGCCCATTAAGCTCGGCCGAGCCACCCCTTTCTCTCAGGCCGCGCCCTAGCCGTCCGAGGGAAGTCTGTTTCCCCTCCCTCTTTCTTTTCTTTTCAAAAGGGTTTAATTAAATCCTTTTTCCTTTAGACCAAAAATCCAATAATCTTAGAAATTCAATATCTTCTCAACCGTATGTCCGTTTGACTCCGTTCAACTCCCAAAATTCCTCAAATCTCGAGATCTATTTAATAGCACGTTTAGAGGTCAATAATTGGGCTTTATTTTCGCCGTTTGTTGAGTTGTCCCGTTTCGCGTGTAGTTTCGGAGCCTGAAGACCCGCAGTGCGAGGATTTCGAGGATCTAGCTCAAGATCTCGAGCAAGGCAAGTCACCTTTGATCATCTTACACCTATAATTTAAATCTAAGTATTTCTTTTCCGCAAATATTGCATGAATAGGATTAACACGAGTAATTCGGCCGCGGCTTGTGAGATAGCCTGCTGGTCCCAATCCCAATTGCTGCAATTACCCTCCTTGAATTATTGAACACTTAGACCTCCTTTGTCGACTGTTGTGCTTCGATGCACGGGCCTTCGGGCTCGAGCATTGGAACACTTCCCTTCAAATTTAAAATATCCAACGATGGGTAAAACTTGGGGTTTTACAAAAGATTTGGAAAACCCGACACCTGGGTCGGTGCTTGCGAACTAAATGAATTTCCAAAACCACAAACCAGAGGACGTACCGGGAGTACGGTTTCCCGCTCTTACACTTAAGGACTGTTTCCTTGGAATTTCATCCGAACATAAGACAAGTGCGACCACATAGGTGTAATGGGACGCCCCTGGCTGAGTAATTAGCTAATCGGGGGAGCCATGATGCCAAGAGACATGTGGATTCAACGGGGTGGTGCTGGGGAGAACCCCCGGGTTTCCTGGCACAGTATGGTCTGGGAACTAACCTGGTGTTGGTCTGGGACCCCTCTCGTTGGCATATGGTGAACCTGTGTCGGCTTTCGAAATGCGCCTTGTCATGAAAGCCTCAAAGTCTCCAGACGTGGCCATTCTGCACGGGCTGGGTGATCCGGGTTAGTAATGTCGTGTGGGTAAAGTGTACCCCCTCTGTAGAGGTTATTAAACTATTCGAACAGCCGTGCCCACGGTCATGGGCGGATGTGAGGTGATTCCTAGCGTAGTTTTGTTTGACTACTGCTTGTGAAATTACTATTGTGGAATGGGTTCGATGTTTGGAAAATCTGCGGCTGATGGGATCAGCCAGGCCCGGGTGGCCGTTTGAAAGCCGTTGGCCGGGTGCCAACTTTGAATCAATTCAAAGATTGATACATTGCACATACTCCGACCGGACGAGATGCACTGTCTAATCCGTGTCGTTTGAGAAGCACTCACTTAGTTGTTTCAAAAAGGAGTTTAAATAAAACCAATTGCAAAAACAACAGCCTTTCCTTTGAAGTCTACATTAAACACTTAATTCCCATGGCTTGCTGAGTACTCCTGTACTCACCCTTGCTCTATATAAATAATCCCCCCTAGTTGTGGAAGAAGATGATGTGGATCCTGCTGATGAGGAGTTCTTCCAGGAGCAAGTCAGCTACGATGAGTTTTAGGGTTTCGACCTAGTTCCCAAGTCGCGCCTGTGATGAATGGTCCAAGTCTTGGCTTCCGCTTTCCCTTTTGTAATGCAGTTGTGAGCTCGGGAACTATCCGCAGCCCAACATGACTGTACTCCTACTCTGTAATAAAGAGACCTCTGTTGCCGTGATATTATGTCTTCTTGTGATACCGACACTGTTTCCTGGGACTGTTATCGATTAACAGGTTAATTTGGAGCGTCACGGGCTAGCTCCGTTCGGGGCTAGTTCGGGGCGTGACACACTGTCAATTTAACTATTTATTTGTCCCACTGTGTATGAGCTTTAAACATTGGATTTTCCAAAATTTGCTTGTTCGGATCAGTGCCTTCGGCCGATTGTGTTTCGTCCAGTGCATTGTCACGAACCAACCACCATCGCGAAGTTGTCATCTTGCCGATGCGATCTGTTCGGCAACACGGTTTGGAACCTGCTGTCGCGCACCTATATCAACACCAACCAGCAGCAGTCAGTTGTGTCGCCGTGCACCGAGGCAAGCAGCAAGACATACCATTGTTGATTTGTTGATTTTTCTCTACACGCACACTGTATCGAGAAGAATTCCTACTGTGTTTATCAGAAACTCAATCCAATACGATCTGCTGTTTATACGTGTTTCAAAAAGATTTTAAAAAAATCATGATATTAAAGCCGAGATCTATTACTACCCACATATCGAAAATCCACGCGTGCAGCAAGACGATCAAGAACAGCAACCGATCGATCACGGTTGCCAAGAGAAATACGAAAACCTAATCAGAGAAATATTCAATCAAGCTACTATGCACATGTATCTTTATCTTATCTCTACTATTTATATAAAAATTAAAATTGAAGATTTTTTGCCGGTACTGTCGTATAATGATACGACATCCGTGTATGAGTCGGTTTTTAAGTTTGTTTGCTTTTGAAAATATAGATCCGTATTTGAGTCGGGATTTTAAGTTCGTTCGCTTTTGGAAATATGGATGGAGTCGTATAAGAAATCTCTTTAAAAAAACTCGCATGCTAACTTGAGATGATCAGACTCCTAATTGCAACTCATGATTTTTTAGAAAAATATATATCCAAACGAATTCTCAGATCATGATTTTCTAGAAAAATATATATACAAGCGAATTCTCACAGTAAATTTCATATTAACTAAACCGTATAACGATAATAAGATTAAAATAGCCTTCACCCGTTGCAACGCACGGGCATTTTTTTAAGTTCGTCATAAAAGAAAAACCCACAAAGGAACATTAGATAAATGGGCCACAATCCGTGGAGTTCTAGATCTTCTTTCAGGTTTCAGCCCATCATGGCCCATAGTTTGTTGTTTCGGCCTCTTCTTTTAGAAAAGGAATAAGTACACTTAGTGACCCTCAAAAGCGATCAAAATCTAATCCATAACCCTAAACCACAAGACCGGATATCTCGACACCCAAACTCTTAAAACCGGTGCAATTTGACTCCCTTGGCGGTTTTGAAGGACGGTTTTGTTGACGTGGCGCCTACGTGGCGGTATTGACCGGGTCTTCTTTACACGTGGCGTTGAGGTGGCATTTAGAGTTTAAAAATATGTGTGGGACCATTTGTCAGTGGCACATAAAAAAAATTGTGGGACCCACGTGTCCCTTCTCTCTGCCCTCCCTCCAGTTCTTCTCCCTCCTCGCCGCTCCCTCTCTCTCTCTTCCTCTCTCCTGCGGCGGGCGGCGAGGGCCGGAGCGGCGGCGGTGGCGGGCGGCGTAGGCATGGGAGTGGCGCGGCGGCATGTCACTGCGAGCAGCGGAGACGCGGGAGTGGCGGCGGCGGCGCCCGGCCTGAGCTCCACCGCCTCTTCGCCGACGGCGACCAGTCGTTCGAGCAAGAAGACGGCGGCGGGGTCGATGACGACGACGTCCTCCACCGTCACCGCCGCCGCTCATGTCGACACGGTCCAAGTCGGGGCCGGTGCCCGCGGCGGGGGACGGCGCAGGGGGCGCCGGTGGCCAACACAACGGAAATAAAAACAGACGAAATTTAGTAGCCTGACCGATGGCGAAGTTCAGTTCGGAGGGGAGTTGGGGTGATCTGTTCGGTTACTCACACCATGCTTATGGTTGCGGTGATTGTGTAGCCGACCATGGTGCCCCACAGGTTGACGTACTGGGAGATTCCGCACATGAACACGGAACACCTCTCTAGGACCTGAAAATATTTTGGCATTGCGTTCAGTTTAACCAACAAGATGGAGATGAGAAAGAAAAAAAAATGGCGTTTGTTGAGGAGGTGAGTACTTACTGAGGTATGATCTGACGGCGTCCATGTAGGTGCGGTCCCTGGTGCCGGTGACGGGGTGCGGCGCGCGGTAGGCGTTGGCGAGCAGGGTGGAGGTGTAGTAGGTGACGCAGGCGAAGCCGGCGAGGGCAAGCGGCCCGGCCACCCAACCCAGCTGCGCCACGCTCCACGCTAGTGCCAGCACGCCGGAGCCAATCACCCAATCTGGACGGTGGAGGACGTCGTCGTCGTCGTCGAACCTGCCGCGTGTGCCTCCCACCGCCGTCCTCCTGCTCAAACGCCTGGTCGTCGTCGGCGAGGAGGCGGTGAAGCTGCCCGCCGTCCAGTGCCTGCCGCCGCCACTCCCGCATCTCCGCCGCTCGCAGTCGCAGGCCGCCGTGCCACGCCCGCGCCTCCGCCGTCTCCGCCCGCCGCCGCTCCGGCCCTCGCCGCCCGCCGCAGGAGAGAGGGAGAGGGAGCGGCGAGGAGGGAGAAGGAACTGGAGGGAGGGGAGAGAGAGAAGGGACACGTGGGTCCCACAATTTTTAATGTGTCACTTACAAATGGGTCCCACATATATTTTTAAATTCTAAATGCCACCTCAACGCCACTTGTAAAGGAGACCCGGTCAATACCGCCACATAGGCGCCACGTCAGCAAAACCGTCCTCCAAATCCGGTTTTGTGGTTTAGGGTTACGGATTAGATTTCAATCACTTTTGATGGTCACTAAGTGAACTTATTCCTTTAGAAAATAAAAAAGTCCGAGAAGAATTAAAGCCCAAAGCTGAATAGAAAAGCTAAAGCCCAACGGCCCACACAACGATTGGAGTGTTACACGACAAGGTCGGAGTTTTATTCTCTTTCACTACGCCTACTCCTCGTAGCGCAATGGCCACAAGCGAGCGGCGGCACATCAAAGATATGCCTAAATGGCTCAAGGCGTGTAGATTGCGGGGCATTTAACTATTTGCCACTTTTAGATTTGGCAATTAACTATTTGCCACCCCTATCTTAATGACACGTGGATCCACACGTGTCTATGACATGTGGGTCTAGTGTCAAATAGTTAATTGCCACATCTAAATATGGCAGATAGTTAAATATCTCGTCGATTGCCGGCCACCACTCGCGAGCTGCCACCATTTCCTTTCCTGGTCTTGGTCGGTTAATCCTTTTATTACCAAATAAATCAAAAGCTATGAAGAAGATTAATTCCATACCTATTCAATTCTCTGGTTCTCTTTAATTAATCCTTTCCTTTTGTATGAAAAGTCTTTTCCCATGCACAGCCTACCCGAGCCCTTGCAATCTTCTTGCCGAATCAAAGAGATCCTAGCGGTCGTAATGTATAACACTAGTTACAAAAGCTACTGTGTATGAAGCACTGGGAAAGTATTTTTCTCCAAAAGGAGGTGTCACTCGTTTCTTATGGTCTAAACGCTTTTTTTTTCAAATGGAAAGAGAAGTTAGTATTTGATATATCAATTTACAAACATGAATATTTAAATTCAACTTACACAAGTACATGAACTATTTAGAGTTTAATTTATTTCTTTTGCGATGACTTGGGTTGAATTTTAACTTCAAGCGATATATCACGTATTAATTTGTGATGTCAAAGCTCATTTGTTAGATGGCATGCGAGAGACATCCTCTCGGCTGAAAATCCATTTCCACGAAGCACGGATCAAAATTTTATTTCAGCCTACCCACAACCAATAGAGACACGCATGCTTCAGCATTCGGCCACCTACGTACGGTGAGGTGAAATCAAATTACGTTTTCTTAAACATGAAATCAAACTCCTTCAAATCCCATGTTTTGCTCTCCAACTTAACTATCATATCCCTTTTAACTATTTTTGTCATCTGGTCTAACTCGATTGGAAACCTCCATTGGTGTTTGCACCTAATGCCGTTGAGAGTCGCGACGACGCGCCGGCGCCGTGCATCTCCTTCCTCAGCTTCTTGACCCTCTCGATGACCGCCTCCACCGTCAAATCCACGGCGTCCTTGACCGTCTCCAGCTTCGACCTAGGGTCCGCGTAGAGCAGCCTCGGCACGAGGCTGATCACCGTCTCCGTCATCTTCTCCGCGACGTCCGGCGGGATCCTCCGGAGCGTCTCCTCTACGCTCACGTTGCCGCTGCGGATGTCCTCCTCGGCGATGAACACCGAGTAGGTTTCGTGCACGTCGGGGAGGTGCCACTTGTACTGCGTGTACGCGGACGCCGGGTGGAAGAACACCGGCACGCAGCCGGCGAGCATGGCGTCGAACGCCGACCGCCGCGTGTACGTGTCGCCCGGCGGCTGCAGGCAGAAGCGCGTGCCCTGGAACACGCGCATGAACGTGCTCGGGATGAGGCACTTCTTCTCGCCCTTCCGGCACTGGATCAGGTTGCAGAGGCTGGACGCGCCGCATTGCCGGATGAGGTGGTGCCGGATGGAGTTGGGGTCACCGGGGCGCGTGCCGCCGGCGAAGGTGAAGAGCCACTCGCGCTTCATGCCGCGCATCCGCTGCTGCCACTGGAAGATCTCGGCGTCCTTCGCCGGGTGGAAGTAGGTCGGGTACGGCACGGCGAAGTCGTGCTCCGTCCATGGCGTCTTCTCGACGAAGAGCACCGTCATGTTCTGCACGGCCGGCAGCCGGAGGAACTTGTTGCCCCACTCCGAGTCGCTGTCCGTCTGCCGCTGGTGGTCCCACGCCGTCCTCCCGGACATCACGAAGTGGTCGCGGCCGCCCATGGAGCGCCACTCGGGGCGACGCGTGAGCCAGTCGACGAGCTCCAGCGACGCGGCGTCCTTGACCGACGCGTTGCTGCCCCACAGGTGCTGCACGACGTCGAAGCCGGCGTAGAACGGCACGAAGACGGCGGCGGCGCGGGAGGAGTCGTCGGTGAGGCACTCGTACTGCTTGATGCGGCTGTGGAAGATGACGTCGAGGCCGAAGTGGTCCGTGGCGTACCACCCCTCGTCGGCGAACGCGCCGTCCGCGTTGTCCACCGGCTCGCCGAGGCCGCCGTTGCTGAGGTACACGCACATGTTGATCCACTGGTACCACTCGCGGCAGTTGCGGAGGATGTCGTCGTTGAACCGCGGCGGCAGGTCGTGGATGTACACGTACCGCCCCTCGCAGGCGTGCGCGTCCCCAGCCACCGCCGCCGCCGTCGTCGTCGTGACGTCGCGTGCGGACGGGAGCCTCCTGAGCTGCTCCTCTTGCTCGAGGAGAAAACGCTGCGAGTCCTCGCCGCCCTCGGACACGACGGCGACGAGCGACTGGCGCGCCGCTGGCGAGCTGACCGGCGGTGCGCCATCGAAGACGGAGAAGTGGAGGCAGAAGATGAGAAGCCACGGCGTGACCGACAGGGCGGCGAGGAAGAGGAGGCGAGGCAGCAAGCGTTTGCCGCCGTGGGCGCCGGTCCTCTCCATGGCCGTGGAGAGTTTCAGCCTTCAGGTTTCAGATAACAGACAATGAGAAATCTCGAAACCACCATGCATGTGTCATGGGAATCCTGTGTCATGTGTGATGAAGACCTAACTGGGATGCAATGAGCAAGTCAATTAGTTGGAGTAAATTTCTGTGCAGATGCGACTTGTGAGTTGTTTATGGTGTAGCAGGAGTAGAAACTGTTTAGAGCAAGTTTAATACTAATATAGCCGACTACTGGCTCCAAATCATCTATAGCTAATTTAGTAGCCAATTCATACAATAATTACCTATAAACATACAATGCACAATTCAGACTTGGCCCCACCTATCATACACACGTGCATCTTGAACTCTGTGTGTTGTAGTTGGCTACAAATATATAGCCCGCTACTCTTCTCTCTTCTCTTTTATCTTCTCAAAATATGCTTATAGCTAGCTTGTAGTCTGCTCTTTTGTACCTGCTCTTTACGTGACTTGTGAGTAGAAGCGGTTTACCAATCAAATGCATGCAGGTGTGCCTGAGAAACATGTGCATAATCTCTGGACCCTAGACGAAAAGTCTCGGGCACTGTATAGTTCTGTACCCAACGTTTAGAACTTTCTGAGGGCCTTTTTTATTTGGAGAAAAATATAAAAATTTTGGATGATTTCAATCATACCAAAAAAATTTTATAAAAGCATTTAAAACAAAAGATTAAATCATATCATATCTTTTGAAATTTATGTGGAATAGATAATTTTATATAGATTTTAGAAGAAATTTAGCCAGAGTTCACCTCTTGAATTTTTTCTCTTAGTCTATCAATCTCATTCAATTCGTGTGTTTCTCCTGCAATCCAATCAAACGGTAATATATGTGTTTTCATATGTTTTGCACTTCTCTGATTTCTACCTACATTTCTATCATAATTTTTCGTTTATCATATTCCTCCATTTTTCTATTACTATGATTCAAAGAGCCCCTAAATTTCGACTTCAATCTTAACAAGAGGTTTCTCGTAAATTCAGCTGTAGCGATCGATTTTTCTGGCCGAAGTGTGTAAGCAGGTAGCTAAGGCGGTTGCTTCGAGGTTGAATTGGGGGTGAACCGTGATGTTGCACGTGGGTTGCACGGTAATCGCATCCCCTGAAGAGTTGACACGGGATTAGTTTCTCGGATCAAAGACTTAATTTATGGGGCATTAACTCTCTTGGTCTCTCTCTTAGTCGATTGCCCCCGCGTGCGGCGCGCCGGGTCGCCGCCGCGAGACGAGACTCGTTCGTCGGTTTCGCATCTCGCGATCTCGCACGCGCCCGTCCACGCCAAATATGGAAAATCGACAAGGGCGCGGTGATCTAGCTCAGATTCGCGCGCGCGCAGAGGCCACGCCTCGGTATGGAAACTGTCAAGGGCGCGGGGATCTGAATTCTGACCCCCAACTTCGCCACCGGCGAGGCGGCACCACCTGCCCGGCTGGCTGCGTGATGCCGAAGCGATGGAGCACATGCGCCGGTGCGCGGCGCGCGCGCAGACACGCACGCACGCACACACAACGGTTGCTTTGCCGGCAACACGCGAGGTGGTATGACCGAGATGGCGAGATGCAAATCCTCCTGCGACAACAGATCACACAGCAGAATAGACCGCTGGTGTCCGGTGGATTTGCAGAATACTGAAGCAGTGAGCCTGTTGCAGCAGCCGTGCGCAGGCGTTTTTCTTTGGTCCGAAGGTACAGAATGGATATGGGGTACAAATGCAGGAAAGCTGCCCTCAGATGAAGTACAAGGTATATGGATTTTTGTTTCTCAAGGGATATCTTGTTTTTTTTTTCATGTCGTTTAAAAACTCATTAAAAAGTTTAAAGAATAATATAAACAAGATCAACATGCTATGTATCATTTCACAAACATACAAGTTTAAATTCGACATATATAATTACAAAAATGTCAAATTTAAATGTGAGTGCATATTCTATTTATAATTAAATTTGTTATTTTTGTTTCTATTTGCATAAGTTGAATTTGAACTTTTGTGGAGTGACATATTGATTTAACTCACTATTTTTTAAAGAAAAGTATGAACATGAAAAAACGAAGAGGCATTCCTTTGAGGGATGGATATACTTTTTTTCTGAGTACAAGTGCTTGTACACAAAGTGTAAGATAAAAGTTGGTCCCTGGTAGTACTCTATCTCAATCTCTAGGGATCATCAACGTGGCAGTGGCAATGCCTGTTATCTGGCCACCTCGCCTTTGTCGCCGCCGTCTACCATAAGAGGATCGTCGTCACCTTCCCTTCTCCAATACCGTCCGTCGACCGCCTTTTCTTCTCCGGTGCCGGTCACCTCACCTCCATGGCCGCCCTCCTTTCTCCCCCCGCTATCATGCGATGGCAGAAGAGGTGGCCCTCCTTAGGGTGTAAGTGGCTAACCCGTAAAACCCACTTATAGGCTAAAATTAGCCGTAAACCCGCTTATTTTGACCTATAGGTGGTTTCGCGGCTGACCCACTTACAGCCCTAGCCCTCCTAGCTCCGGTGAGGTGGTAGAGAAGGCCATTCTGCCCCTCCTGTTGGCTGCTGCTGTTGCTTCTCCATGTCACTATGGGTGGGGAGAGGAAAGATCTAGAGGGAAGGAGGGAGAAGAAGCACATAGAGCCTAACAAAATGGGACTCATTGTCAATTTACAGAGTGTAATATATGGAGAGACCGTTGTAATGAAATACAAATTCATCTCTCTATTTATTTTTGGCAAGATGGTTAAATGGATATTTGGAGAGCCAAAAATAGCAATTTTGTTGGAGATGCTACAAGTATTTATTGAGACGATAACACTTAATTTGGATGGTTTTTTACAATCAACTTCTAAGAAAGAGGAAGATCCACTTTTCTGGCAGTGAAATTCTCAACGGAATTACAGATTGAAGTGCGAGTATATATGTTGTATGTTACAAAGTGAGATTTATTGTGCTAAGGCACGTGTTTTCCAACCGATCGTATTCGGTCCGTACATGTACAGCCGTGGATCAGAATCTGCAAACTGCAACAACTGTGGCCGTGGGGCGTACAGGTGCAAATCTTGATGTAAACGAATTTTGGAACAAACAGAAGTATACAAAGATCTATATGATAGTATCAACTAGCGAAACTGATGATTGATATCAACTCGTTCTACATGCTGTAAATTGATCGAGTATCCTACATTTAATTCATTAACTTAGTCTGCGTCGTCGAGCGTCTAGTGCTTGCCTAGATTGTTTAGGCCGGAGCCACGATCTCGCGTAGCCTCCCCTGGTCATGGCGATTCTGTCGATGATCCCCTCGACGGCGACGTCGAAGGCGTCCCTCACCGTCTCCAGCTTCGACCTCGGGTCGGCGTAGATCACCGACGGGATGAGCCGGATCACCTCCTCCCGCATCCGCTCCACGGTGGCGGCGGGGATCGCCCGGAGCGTCGCCTCGATGCTCACGTTGCCGGCGCGCACGTCGTGCTCGGAGATGAACACCGAGTACTTGGCGTGCTCCCGGGGGAGGTGCCACGCATACTGCAGGTACGCCGTCGCGTTGTGGAAGAACACCGGGATGCACCCGGCGACCATCGAGTCGAACACCGACCGCCGCGTGTAGGAGTCCCCCGGCGGCTGCAGGCAGAAGGTGGCCTTCTGGAACAGCCGCATGATGTTGCCCGGGGAGTGGCACTGGCTGCTGCCGAACGCGCAGCCGAGCTGGCTGCACGCGCTCGTCGCGTTGCACTGCGCGATGATCTGGGCGCGGATGTTCTTCGGGTCGTCCGGCCGCGGCGCGCCGACGAACGCCATGAGCCACCGACGCTGCATGCCGCGCACCCTGTCCTGCCACCGGAACACGTCGGCGTCGGACCTCGGGTGGAAGTAGGTCGGGTACGGCACGGCGTAGTCGCTGCCGTTGAGCAGCGAGGACTCCAGCACGAGCACCGACATGTCCCGGCCGCCCGGCATGACGAGGAGGTTGGTGCCCCAGTTTGGGTTGATGTTGGTGTCCCTCCGGAAGTCCCACCCCGTCCTCCCGGCGACGAGGAAGTGGTCGCGGCCGCCCATGCGCCTCCACTCCGGCCGCCGCATGAGCCACTGCGTGAGGTCGACCGACGCGGCGTCCCTCGTCGCGTTGTCGTAACCCCAGTGGTAGCGGACGAAGTCGAAGCCGGCGTAGAACGGGACGAACACCGCGTCAGCCACCGCCGATTGGTTGGTCAGGCACTCGTACTGCTTCATCCGGTTGTGGAAGATGGCGTCCAGCGCGAACTGGTGCGTGCCGTACCACCCGGCCTCGCCCGTCAGCACGCCGTCGGCCCGGTCGACGAGCGGCCGGCCGAGGCCGGCGTTGCTGACGAACCCGCACATGTCCGGCCAGTGGTCTCTCGTCTTCCGGCAGTCGCGGAGGATGTCGTCGTTGAACCGGCGCGGCAGGTCGTGCACGTAGATGTACCTCCCCCGGCACGGGTCGGCGCCGTCGTCGCCGCCGCCGTGGCCCAGCAGCAACCCGCCGCTGAGCAAGGAGAAATGGCAGTAGATGAACGACGTCCACGACACGACGGCGAGGACGGCGATGAACCGCAGCGGCGGCAACAAGCCAACCGCGACCTTCTCCATCCCCTTCGCCCGGCGTTGCTGCCGACCACCGCCTTTCGGCGCGGATTTGATCAGCTGCCGATTCAAGATCCAAGAACTAATCACCACACTAAACCTCATGCACGTCTATCCATGGAGTGAAATGCAAGCGAGAGACCAATTCGATCAAAAGGAAGAAAAATGTGAAGCAGCTTTGGCTCACCACTTGTCTGATCGTGCTGCCCACTCTAATATGCATTTCGAGTGTAGAATATATACTGCAGCAACACCAATGTCTCGAGAACTGATTGGAGGAAGACGAAGACCCAAAGACTATCCCTATAGAGGACGCTTCACCAAGCACCCTTGCAATGGCGACACTCTGCTGCAATGGAGATCTGGGGGGACTAACCGAGACTGTAGAGCCTATGCTCAAATTGTTACTAATCTCCAAGTTGGTGAATTGCGCACACTTGCTTCGGTGCAGAGTTGACAGAGAGTGCAGTATATTAGCACCTGCATGGGAGACATTAAATTACTAGCTGATTGTTTAATGAGTTCATATTTGTTTAACATGTCATCGAGTTAAAAATAAGTTTAAATTGTGGCTCAAAAGAAGTGTGACATACACAGTCAACAGTTGTACAGACGTGCACCAGTGTAATTACCAGTGATTGATTGTTTAATGAGAGTTCATATTTGTTTAAGATGTCAACACTAACAGTTCTACATACGCGCTCGGACCAGTGTATAATATTGTAGCACCAGTTGATGCTGAATACGAATGTATTTTTTGACATGCTAGTTTTTGCGATGAATAGTGTGCCACGTGAGCCAGTATCTCAGTGGGTTCGTCTGCGCTCCCATTGGATGTTTCGGATCTTTTAGCCAGAAAATGGCATTCTGGTTCCAGTTTTGTTTCAAGAGTCCTTCATTCTTTTCTGACACTAGTACTTAAGTACATTCACTCCTACGACTTGTATTGAGAAAGAGTTGATGAGTGGAGAGCTGGTCTGCTGGTGATACATACTGCAGTGAGTAATGTTATGAGTACTTAAATAATTCTTATAGAACTCTTATAAAGTTCTCAACAATTGAATTCAAAAAATCAAGATTCATTACCGAAACGACAAAGTAAAATATATGTAAGAAAAACTTTTATATGTACTGTATATCTTTTTTCCTTCTACAACCTACTTCTCCTTTTCACCTCTCTCCAAGAGAAAAAAAGACAGAGAAATCATATCTTACTATAAAATTATCCCCCACTAACTCTTTAAACTTAACATGCAAAGATGCTACATCATCATCCACTAATTAACAAGATGCCACATCATCATCCACTAACAATCATCACATTTAAACATCATGCAAATATGCTATATCTTTATAGTTTTTATAATTTAAGAGCTTTTCAAATACAAACATGTTAAATTATCATCCAACATAATTCACATAATTGAAAATAATGTTTCAATGTATATCTTTATTATGTTTTATGATATCCTATATACTTATATAGTTCATTCTCACTTAGTTAGTGCTTAAATGATTAATCTATGGTCTAAATTATCTTTCTCCTTTTTTCCTCTAAATAAGTCATATCACATCAATTGTTTTTAGCATTTAGATGATTAATCTACGGTCCAAACTATCTTCCTAATTTTATTCTTCCATAAAGTCATACCACCTTACTTTTTACGTTTGAATCACCATTCTACATACTATTTAAATTTAAATTATTATAAACCATATTAATTTACTTAATCTGATGTTATCTAGCTATCTTACATGTTTTTTTATTGTTATCATACTAAATTCCCGCAGCAATGCGTGGGGTTTCACCTTATAGAAAGAAACACAACTAATTATTAACCTCTAATTGCCCATAACCGTGCAGCAAGCCGAACCACGACTGAGAACCTACAGGTTACCCACTTTTTTTGGCCTACAATTGTATTCACGGGCCGGTACACTTGCATATCTCTACCCACAAGCACTACGACAACTTCAAATGGCTCGCATTACAAGTCACAAGCCAGTCAATCATCGGTGAAACAAGCTCAAAGCTTCCACTAAACCTGCCTACCGGCGTCACAAATTCAGTTTGTCAAGTACAAAATCTTGGATCAAGCAACGCGGCCAACCAAGATAAGGCAAAAACCCGACTGCTCTTCCCAAAATATGGTGATCGTGCAGCCACTGCCCCGTGTAGAGGGAGCTTCTATCGGTGACACCATTGTTGTCACCTTTCGTTAGCATCTGCCTCGCGCCGCCGTCGTGTCGCTCGTGGAGCTCGATGACGCGATGAACGATGGGGACGGGGTGGAGTTCGGTGCTGAAGAGGACGATGTCCCCGGCGCGGATGTTGTCGTCGCCGTCGCCGTCGTTGCGCCGCTCCCGTACGATGAGCATGTCGCCCCGCCGGATCCCTGGCTCCATGCTGCCGGAGACGACCACCGTCGCCGTGGTCCCCGTCGCCTTCCCCAGTAGCAGAAGCGACAACAGGAGGATCGTCACCAGCCATGTGGGGTCGAAGCGGATGACGACGTCGGCCAGGACGCGCCGTGGGTGGTTGTTGTTCCCGCCGCGGCCGCGCAGCCGCCGCCGCTCGCGATCCATCGGGTGTGTCGCCGTGCGCGGACGCGTTATTGAACGAGCGGGATCGAGATTTTGTATATGTGGGTGTGGCGCGGTGGAGGAGATCGACTCCTCGACGGAATCGGGGAGTTTTTCCGCGGCACGCCCGCACGTACGTACGGGTACGGGGCAGATGTCTCTCCGATTCCATCTGCGAGCCCGGTTCAAACTCTCAAATATAAGTAAAAGAAATCGGTTTTGCTAAAAAAAAAATACTGGTGTACTCGCATTACAAACAGTAAATTACAAGCGGCTGTATTACAAAAACTAAGACTCGTAATAATTAGTTAACTTACCAAAATCTAGCCAATGCATTTACGGGTGAATTATAAGCAACGGTATTACATCTCGGCAGTTGTCTAGAGTTTTAGTAAGCTCGGACTGAAGGTCCTGAGCATTACATTATCTCCTTTTTCACTTTGTACACTTGTACAGTTTTACTCCTCTATTTAATTAAAACAGTGGCGGATTCAAAATATTTTATGAGCTCGAGCAAACCTAGCAAACAAAAAAAAAATATACAAGTCTATATAATACATAGATCATTTTAACATGAGCATTTGCTTTATAAGTTTGTGTTAAGCACATCTGTCGATGTGGTGTTGCTTCATACGGCCTAGTAGTGAACTAAGCAATGTAATTAGCAAGCTAATTAAGTGTTAATCTATGGATGCATAGCTGCATTTGCCAGGCGGAGCCCGAGCCATTGCCCATGGTAGCCGGGTCTAGCTCCGCCACCGAATGAAAATGATGGTTCGCTGTTTCAAGGAGTAATTAGGTTGTATTATTTTCGGTGAGTTTCCCAACTCACACCCCTCGTGTTCCACATGCACGCTTTTCAAACGGCTAAATATGATATGTTTTTTTAAAAAATTTTCTATATAAAAGCTGCTTTAAAAATTATATTAATATAATTTTTAAAAAATAAATACTTAATTAATCATAAGAAAATGCGTCGCTCTATTTTGCATGCACAGGAGGTGAGTTCCCCATCTCACCTCCCGAATACAGCCTTAGTTAACTTACCAAAATCTAGGCATTGCATTTACGGGTGCTCGCATTTGGCGCTTTTTTTTTCGAGGCATTTGGCTATTGTTGATGAGATGTCTATGACAACTTCAAAAATATCAAAACAATACGGTTTCAATAAATCTTTTAATATGCTTATACGGTACTATGTGTGTTTATAGTAATGAGCGTATATATATTTATGTAAGAACACGTGTCGTCTCGAAAAAAAAAATTAGACAATGCAGATGCGACGAACTCGTCAATACTTCTAGCCGTTTAGGTTTGGGCTATTACTGACCTAGTGCGCTTCTAGTGCACTCCTAATTACTGTCTTACCGACAGATCCAGAGGCTGGACACCACACCGTATTCACACTCCTGGAGATAGGAGTATTAATTCAATGAATCAATGGTCAACGGCCTCTGTCAGATCGATCTAGCATTAGTAAGGCCTGTTTACTTCCGAAAATAAAATTTTTTATGAAATCATATCGAATGTTTAAACACATGTATAGAGTATTAAATGTAGAAAAAAAACCAATTACATAGATTGCGTGTAAATTACGAGACGAATCTTTTAAGCCTAATTACGCCATGATTTGATAATGTGGTGCTACAGTCAACATTTGCTAATGATAGATTAATTAGGCTTAATAAATTCATCTCGCATTTCCTGGCGGTATCTGTAATTTGTTTTGTTATTAGACTACGCTTAATACTTTAAATGTGTATCCGTATATCCGATGTGACAACCAAGCCTAAAAATTTTCTTCAACTAAACAAGGCCTAATTCTCACCACCTTTGGAACATATCTACTCTGTGTCTAATTACTACTAGCAATAGACACGCGCTACGCTGCGTGTGGACAAAAAAGAGATCCAAATATGTTCATGAAATGTAACTTGAGTTAACATTTACATCCTGCAAGGACATACTACAGTCCAAGATATGAGGAAAACAATACTTTGATACAATATTGTTGAAAAATCTAAACCATATACAAATGATCATACCTCTATTCGTTTATCTGTACTGACATAGTGGCGATTTGGAAAGACAAATAGTGCCATTGGGCCACTCTACCCTGTTTTGTTTCAAGTACACTAATGCATATATTCTCTAGCCCTGACAAAAGCAAACATAATACTGAAATTAGTACATAACTTATCAACTTTGAGATAAGCTTTAGATATCTTGCAAGAAAGTTCATCACAAAGTCTGAAACAATAATATAGCTTGAAAGGCAAAGCGATTAAATAAAAATAGAATTGTTTCAGCCATTTGCACAAATATGCAACCAATATGTGATAACATATGATAATCAGTGAAATAGTTCCACCAAACTAGCAATATATTATCTCAGCGGTATGTGGTATGGGATGCCAACTTTGAATGAATACACCATGGATTAACTTAGAACCCAATAGAACTCAGGGTAAATTTTCAGATTCATCAGTACTACAAAAGTAACTCATAGGGCAACTGAATCCAACCAGATTGTTTAAAACCATTGATGCAGGCCGAAAGGCTAATCCGGAACAGAAAATTGCCTTAACTTTTAAACGAACACTTCAGGGATGAAATCTTGGATTTTGAACAATGGTTTTGCAAGTACATGATTCTTGTTGAAATCTTTCAGTTTTAGTTCTTGTTGATATTATAGGCAGGTTTGAACAAAGACCAAATCTGAAGTGACACATAATAAAAAAGGATGTACACCGGAAGTAGTAGCTGGAAACATTGGTCCATCATATTTATTTTATAATCTAAAATTTCTTGTGTACATAGCCATGAGCAAAACCAGCAGAAAACGCATATCTGATTGATCCCAATAACAGTAATAAAGCCTAATGTCCCCAGTACAATTGAACAATATGTGAGTGCCACCTAAAGGAAATGGTAGCAAAATAAATTACTTTGATTTCTATGTTTAACAGTTGGCATTAACGAAAGAGTGTTATCTTAGATACCTTCTTGTCATGCACAAACCTTCTTAGGACATGGCATAGTAAATTGGTCCATGCTGTTGCATATGAAGCACCAACGTGGTAACTGAACTCCAGAAAGAAGCGATGCACAGGAATCAATACACTATGGCCTACAATAGCAATGAGAATTACTATGTCCCACAATGTAATTGGAATCTAGATAATATCATACTTCATATTTACGCAACCTCATTATAGAATCAATAATTTGCAGAGATCACATAAAAACACCTAACCTCTTCAAAAGAGCCTGAAAAGAATACCTGCTCAGTTTGTGTGCATACTATTACCTCTAAGAATAAAAATAAATACTACCTCCGTTTTTTAATAGATGACGCCATTGACTTTTTCTCACATGTTTGATCATTCGTCTTATTCAAAAATTTTATGCAAATGTATAAGATATAAATCACACTTAAAGTATTATGAGTGATAAAACAACTCATAGCAAAATAAATTATAATTACATAATTTTTTTTTAATAAGACGAATGGTCAAACGTGTGAGAAAAAGTCAACGGCGTCATCTATTAAAAAACGGAGGGAGTGTATGAGAAATGTGTTTCATATCAAACTAAAAGAGTAGAGGGGAAAAAATAATGTGTGTCACTAAACAACATTGTTGATTCTAAGAAAAAAGTCCGAAACACAAACATATGCATTAACCGACTTGAACTTACCATAGACAACGAAGAAACCAGGCAATGAAAATAGGCATGTGCATTCTAAGTGAAGACAGCTACAACTAAGAACAAATAATGCGATGCGGAAATTAGCAATTTAGCATACATAACAGATGCAAAAGAAAAGCAGGATGGTGGCTGAGGAAGGGTATATAGGACCAACATACATGTCCTAGCAGCATGAATGGACAGCAAGACCTGAAGCAAGGGATGCCCAGCCCTGCTAACCTCCACCTGCTATCTTCTCACCAAATTGGGTGGCGTAATCGCCTCAATGTTAACCCATGGCAATGATTCGTATTAGTACTGCAAGCACTCATGTGTAAACAGGTAAAAATGATCCTTTTTTAAGTACCAATAAGAAAATAAATAAATCAAAATCATCCCTAGTCTTTCCCATATGAGCCGAGGAAAAAAAACTGAACACAACCTACTTGTTATATATGTTGCTCAAATCACATTCATGAACAGATATTGCTTCGTCCGTGTATCTTGGACATGCCAATTGGGATTTTAGAGATATAAAATTAGACATCACAAATTCACAATTGGGATTGTATATTGCTTAAAGACAGAACGGAAGGTTACTCTGGGCTCCTCGATGTGACTCCAATGCGTATCAGTAGGTGATCCAGGCAAGATGTCATATTATTTCAGCGCAAATAGCCCAACAATATCAGGTTGCCTCTCCCGGAGAAAAATAAAATGAAAAGCAGAAAAAACGTAGGAAAGACTGAGCCATTGTTGTTCCTTACCGTCGACCTGACCAAGCCGCTAGCCGTCGTCGTTCCTAGCCATCGACCTAACCGAGCCCTAACCGTTCTCATCACAGTAATGGCCATGTCGCGACCCTCCTCCTTCCTTCTCCTCAATAGCTGCACTGCTGCTACCTCCTCCTCCTACCAAATCCGGCGGCCCCTGAGCCGGATCTGGCACTGAGCGGAGCTGAGAGGGGGAGAGGGGCGATGGAGGTGCGGAGAAGAAGAGCAGCAGAGGGTGGTAGCGACGGCTTGCTCCCTCACTTCCAAGGCTCCAAGTGGCCGGATCCACCGGCGGGAGACCGAACGCCGGAGCAGGTGCGGCGGCCTTACTGGGGAGAGAAGCGGCGACGGTATGGCGGCGGCGGGAGGAGGGCGAAGCGGCGATGCGCGTGAGGAGAGGAGGGCGAGGCAGCGCAGGCGAGAAGAGCGCCTGGCGGCCGAGTTGGACGTGAGACGCACGCAAGGCAAAGGCGGCTAGGGTTCTTGGCAAATCCAGGCCGTCCGTTCCCCTAATCCAACGATCTGATGATGGTGGAAGGGCAGTCAGGCCGGGAAACGTGGACGGCCAGATCAACCCTAGCATGCGATCCGACAGCCATGTTAACATGGATCTACACGCTATTAGCGAAAAGAGCAAGGGTTTTTTTGAAAAAAATTGATGATGTGGCGGCCTAAATTTTCACCACTCCCACGACGTTTAAGTAAAGTATCTAGCAATAGAAGCGCGCTACGCCGCGCCGCCCGAATCAATTGAAGTCCAATATGTTCAAGGAATAATATGTATCTATATTCACCTATAGCGTTGGTTCATGTTTTCATCTATATCCTATAAACGACCCTTGTAAGAAAAATTGGAACACACAAAAAAATAGTGTCTAGGCTAAAGGAGGAAATCAAAAGTATAGGAAGTTTGAATAAATAGAAAAAAAAAGGCAAATTACATGTCAATTACAATGAGTTTACAGAGGTTTCATGGTACCCCTTTTTCTCTATACGCTAGAATCACACTGGACTATTGGATGCTACAAAGAGAAGACCATGCCAACTGGTGGTTCTATTAAATGCATGCAAAGCTAAAATGAACAGATAGAAAATGACCTTTTTTCAAGTGTAGCATGCCGATGCCCTAGTCAACAACAATCCTCCGTTATGTGCGATTAGTGACATCAGTACAGCTGAAAAAAAGTATACTACCTCTGTCCCAAAATATATTGCAATTTTGAGCTGTGTACCTAAACATTCCTTTCAAGATATAGGGCCAGAAGTTATTACATTTTGGGACAAAGGTAATAGAAAGTTTTAATAACGTTAGTACAGCTAAAATAGTATAGTATCAACCATTTATATATAGAGAGATAATATTTTCAGCCTGGCATCACAGTTCTAACACATGAAACCAATTTTTCTACCAGAAGTTCTATCTATTTTCGAAGCAGAGGTAGTACAAAGTGCTACTACCACATGGCAAAGTTTACGAGCGAAAGCATGCATGATCACTTAACCAAAGTATGGATGCAATAACATAAGCCTTATAGTTCTACATTGCATACTTCTTCAGGTAGGTCCCATTTTTTTCTTCTCTGGCCCTTTTGTAAGTAGCTGGCGTAATATAAAATGTGGAAACAATGAGCTTTGTAGAGCACAGAAGCAGCATGTTACACTATAGTTTGACGAAACAGATCGGCTCCACAACTTTTAGGATTTAAAAGTGTGGTTTCACAATTAATGAAAAAAAACATGTAAAAAAGACCGGTGAACTAAATAGTGAAATAATCTCTCTCTGAGCATAGACATGTAAAAGCAAACCAACTGAAAGACAGAATATTAAAAAGATTGACTTATGATATTGCTTTACCATTGGATCGCAACGGTTAGGACATGTCTAGGAAAACATTCCCATTGAACCAGTTGATGCACAAACTAAATTGAAATGTACCTTCAAAAGAAATTTGTGTCTGTTTCCATGATGGACCCAATCCATATCCATTTCTTTTTGCGACCTAATAAAAAAGAAAATAGAGGCATGTCATGAAGCATGAATAAATAAAGGTCATTCTAGAGACTGATAATGTTTTCATCACTCAAAAATGGTATCATCTTTCTTTTCATCACTCAAAGGAATGATATCAGTCACCCTTCGTGTTTTGTACAGAAATATGGCATGAAGGATTGGCTCTAATATCTCTAAATTTTGCTAAGATATTCTATAAAATCTAAAAGAATATGATGCCTTACTACTTAAATAAATGAGCATTCTCTTTTGTACAGAGAAATTCCTTTCACCATCTAGGCATTTATATAGTTGGAACAAAAAACCTGAGCAGCAAAAATGGTGGACAGAATGAAAGACTTCACTGAGTTAAATGCTGCTACCATATATTAGATGATCATACATGAACATTGATGTGAAGCTGAAGCATGCATGCAGTGTATGCACTTCAAGCAGATGCAAACAACACATCAATACCACTCGAGAAGATAAGATTACAGAATGAAAGAACTGTACAAAGGTAATGGCAAATAACGGTACAGATTTCTTTCGAGCTAACATAAATATTTATGCATGGAAATTTTAGGAAATATAGTAGATGAACAAAAATAAACCATATGGAAATTGGTGTGGAGCATACCTGTAATGAATGTGCTTCGAGCATATAGCATTCATCACTGAAAATGAGGAACACAGTACAGCAGCATATGAAAAACTCTTTTGATGTACATTCAAGAGGTAAGCCATGTGTACTTGTAGCTTCCAAAACTATCTGAATATGAAAATACACCCTGCAGCACAAATGGGAACAAATAAACCTATCAACATTATCGTTTTGCCCCCCATAGCTGTATATGCAATTCCTGACTGAATAAATAATAATCATAGCATATAGAAATTTTAGTAGCAGTGTGCATTGCTTCAAGCTAAAAAAGTTTGATCACACATGACAGTGTTGAGGTACATGCAGAGGGAAATTTTTCTACATAACATACACACTGTAACTAAATCAAGCCTCACACGTTAGAAGCAAATCAAAGCTGTAATCATCAAGAACTAATGTCCAATCACTTCCTTCCTTCTCATGTCACTGAGGTAAAACAACAAAGGAAAAGAGAGAGAACGAACGACCAGGCAGGCAGGCAACCATCGTCGCCGAGCCGCGGTTGCCTTCGTCGCGGTCGTGGCTGAGCCTACGCTCTCCCTTCCCTTCTCATGGCACTGAGCGAGGTGCTCATGGAGAGGGAGAGGAGAAGAGGGTGTGGCGGCGGCCTGCTGACTCCGTCCGGCTGGCGACCGGATCCACTGGAGGGGGAGGCCAAGGCCGATGAATCAAATGGTTGGAGAGGGCTTGGGAGGCAGTGGCGTGGCAGGGATGAAAGAGGAGAAAGGGCGGCGGCTCTCGTTCCTCTCTAGGGCGCCGGATCCGCCGGCAAGGAGAATGGGATCACCGGATCCGGCGGCCCTAGTCTCCTCACTGGGAGATCTGGCGGGGAGGGAGCGGCGATGGCGTTACGGCGAGATGGCTTGTTGAGGGAGTGGAGGCGGCGATGGCGGCACGGCGAGATGGTTGAGGGAGTGGAGGGGTTGAGGGAGTGGAGGAGGAGGGAGTTGCGGCGGCGACGACGCACGCGAGGAAGGAGGAGGGTGAGGATGCGGCGCGATGGGGGGAGAAGGGCGAGACGGCACGCATGGGGGAGGAGAGGACGGGCGGCTAGGGTTTGGACGTGTTGGCGAAATCCACACCGTCTGTTAGAGATCCAACGATCCCACGGGTGTGGAAGGGCCGCCAAAGGGGGAACGTGGACGGCCAGATCGAGCCTATCTCAAGATCGGACGGTGGACATAGCAAGGACCGGCACGTAATTAATCAAAAGCATGGGGTTTATTTTGCAAAAGACGGCTGAGGTGGCACGCTAATCTTCAGCCATTCCCACGGCATTTAAGTAAACTAATATATACTTTCACATTTTTTTTTACAGTAGATGACAACTAAGGGCTTCATCGGTTGGCCTTTCCTATTATTAAAGAATAGGAGTATATAATTATCGTTTATTTGGTTTTTTTGCTAAGTAACTTAAGTATGACAATTACTACTGTACTAGTTTTCAATGAGATAAATGATCAGAAGTAGTACTGTTCAAAAGTCAACCAAGCGAATAACTGTTTCCAACGAGAGTCGCGACAAACCGTTTGAACCGGCTAAAGTGGAGCGGAATGGGCCGATTCAGCCCATGGACGGCCACAAATGATCTCGGCCTGGATCTCCAGCTGATTGGACATTGGCCTCCACGAAGCGCAGAGGGGTGGGAGGAGGCGGGAAAGCCGAGGTGCACGGCCGAGACGGGGGAGGGAAATGGAGGCTGACGGCGGCGCCGCCGGCGAGGAGGCGGAGGAGAGGAGGAGGAGGAGCGAGCTCGGGTCCCTCGTGGAAGCCATCAAGTCCTCCGAGGTGCGTGCTCGTGCGGCTCCTCGTCCCCATTTGCTCCGTTAGGCCACTTCTAGGGTTTAGCTTGATACATTGTTCGAGTGCTGCGGCCGTGATTGGTTTCCACGAATAGAGAGTTCGGTCGAGTGGAATGGATGTAGATTTGGGGGGTGGGGATGGGGGAATGGATGTTTCTGGGTGGGATTTAAGATGAATCTCCGCGAACTTCTGTAGGTGTTGGCCGTTGGGGTTTGGGGATTTGTGCGCGCTCTAGTTAATCCATACTCTTCCAGGCATTAATAACAACATGATCTGTATATAATAGCAGGTTTTGGAGAACAGAATTTCCCTTATCAACCAACTCGAGGATCCTTTTCAGTTGTGTGCAGATGATCTGGGCCTAGTGGTTGAAAGTCTGATCGTATCCTTTATTGCTTTATCTCGGTATACTTGATATATCCAGAAACACGATGATATATGTAGCCAGTCGGATGGACTCACTGATTCATTGTTTCTTAGTGGACGTTGTCAGTGTTTTCTAGTAAGGAGTTTTCTTATGGTACCTTGACAACATCTTAGGCATCGTGGGATGATTCCACATGTTCCGGTGTATCACACTGCATGCTACACAAGTCAATTCTGCAGGTTGCTCTTAAATGCTCAGAATTAGATACAACCAATTGCTTGGGGCCATTTCTTACTCTTGGTTCAAAGGTACTTGTTGCCATTCCAAATGGAGTCTTGCTTCATCATAAGTGCCAGCTGTACCTACCTTGCCTGCCTATCTGCTTTCTGGCTCAACCAATCAAAACATTTGCTTGTTTTTTGGTGCACCTATGCCAGGCTGGTTCGTGGTGTGTGAGGCATCTCCTGTGGTCTGTTGAATCTATTGATGAATCTGAAGATGCCCAAGAGGAAGAACACTCCAGATTATTTCCTGAGGTCAAGGGCTTTGAGTCTCTCTCTCTCTCTCTCTCTCTCTCTCTCTCTCTCTCTCTTAAAAAAGATCTGTTTGTATTTCATTGCAATACATGTAGTTATCAGTAATAACAGAAAGAACATTTGTACATTACTCTCAATCACTACATTTTTTTTCAATGCAGACCTATGCAAGTGAACAGTACTACTCTCAATCACTACATTTTTTTCACCAGCTCATATTAGTTTATACTTAATTGTTCTACATTCTGGAGATTCATTACATCATTTATTCCTTTCTGTAACTGTGATTCTATCTAGAATGTTCCAATACAAGTTCAACTTATTTGACTGCAGATAATTGCACTGACCTTAAATATCTCTTCCAAGCACCTCCCTGTTGCATCTAAATGCATTGCCGAAGATACTGTGCATGCTGTTGGCGACTTTATTTTGGAGTTACTAACCCTGACTGAAAGCTCAATACTTGACAAGGTAACGGTTCAGTTCCTATATTACACAATGGTCGTATCAGGTGGTTTAACTTGCATGACCGAAATCTATATTTCTCTCCTTTTTTTTTATGATCATGTTGCTTGATTTATGTCCTATAAGATAGTTTTATATGCTATCTTGCATATATATATCCTTCATCTCCTGAAAGTAACTTAGCAACAAAAATCTAAAGGGGAAATAGCAAATAATGGCCAACTAGAGTAAATATGTTACCTCCATGACATTACAATAACAATAGACCTTATCTGTTTCAAATTACTTACAAGTTTTGTTTACTCCTAAAGAGATGTTTTCTGTGAGAATATTGGAAATTCATCCTTTAATTGGAAGTGCTTCCTACCCTTGACTAATACATAGATTCGTCAGGCTAAAATTTATGTTTTTTTATCCAACTTTGATCATATGAGATGGTAGTGCTCTTTTCAAATCATTGAAATGCTAATATTGTAGAAATGGAGTCATTGTCTATGCTCTCTGTTGACAGAAACTCGGAACTACAGGACATGTTGCTAAGGCTGCACCTGTTTTTCTAGATGAAACCATCAAACTGTGCAGAGTGTACTCCGAGGCTGCAAAATCAGACCAGTGCATAATGAGCATGCCTAAAGAAGAGACAACTGAGGAACACAAAGAGACAGATCTTACTAGCAACATTGCCCAGATTACAGCATGCACTATTCAGTCCTTGTGTAAAATAGGAACCCATGCAGCATCCAGTGGTGGAAGCCAGGTGATTTTACTGAATATATCATGGAAGGGCATAATTTCCTTACTGCAGCTTGGTAAAGGGATGGTAGAAGAAAAGGTGAATGTAAGAGAGATTATTTTAATTCCTATCTCAGTTGCCATTGAATCTCTGAGGGTTGCTACTGAGAGATGGTGTGTACCATTACAAGAAGTCCTTGGTACCGCTGAAGCTAGAAGGGCTTTCTTACCAATCAAATATTTCCTAACGAACGCCGTTAGGATTTGTTCTATATATCCATCTGAAACAATGGCAATATACAAGAGCATAATCCGGTGTGCACTGCTGATTTCACACTCAAGTATTCTGTTCTGCAGAAATCCCCAGTTGAAAGCAGCAAGTGAATTACTTTTTGAGTTATTGGAGCCTAGTTCCTTTCTTCTGTTAGACACACTTATGAAGTCAACAGAAGTAAGTCCAGAGTCTAAATGCCAGCTCGTGCAGTACTTTTTGGAAAAAGTACGAACCGGTAATCCAGAGTACACCGGAGAAGTTGATCATACAATGAATTTCGCTACATTGGGTTGCATTTTTTCTGTGGATTCTGATGTTGATAATATAAACAGGGCACTTTTACCTGCTGAATTTACTGTGTTCTTGCACTTCCTCAATGCTTCCCCATGGTTGAGGGAAGAGGTGGTCATTGAATTATGTAAGAAGCTACATCTGTTTCTTAATATTTTAACGTTGGAAGATGTCTACTCATATGTACTTGGCTGCCAAATTCCTGCACTAAGTAGTGATGATGATTCTCCTAAGGTTGTCTGGCAACCTGTATATACTTCTCTTATACAAGCCTTGAAGACTTTTATGATTGCTGCTTCTTCTTCAAGTGCTGCTTGGAGTGAGTTTGAAGTCTTCTTACTTGAGAACCTTTTCCATCCCCATTTCCTTTGCTTGGAAATTCTAACAGAGCTATGGTGTTTCTTCATGCATTATGCTGAAGCTGAAACTTCAACCTATTTAATCAATCAGCTATTTCTTCTGTTAAAGACTCTAGCGTCACCAGAGGAAGTTCTTGCACCTCTCAGTGCTCTGAGGAAGCTTGCTCGTGCATCATGTAACATCTTGAGCTATGCATCGTCTGCAACAATTGATCAAATTTATACCATGCTGAATGATAGCTCTTCCAAGTCATCGATCTTGTACTTAGCACTGTTGATGGAAGGATTTCCTTTTGATTCATTATCTCGTGGTGTAAAGGAACATGCTGTGAAGACACTGTTCACTTCTTTTGCTGGGTATCTACAGAATCAGAACTACTTCAAGAATCATGGAGAAATCAACTTGCCAACTTCTTCTAGTTCGGGCATAATAGGGTTTCCTGTACATGCTCTAGCCTCTGCTTTCCAGAGTTGGTAAGTCCCTTGTCTCTTACTATTATTCAGTCTGATGCTAAAATGCTGCTTTTATTTTTGGAACCAAAGAAACAATTCTTTTGTACACAATATTTTATGCAGCGAAATAAAGGACGTTACCATTGATGAAAAAAGTATTGCTACTATGTTCAAGATTGCCACCTCTCTCATTAATCTTTATAGAACTTCACCTGATAGCAGTAAGAACCTCCTTGTCAAGCACATCAGTTCCATATTGGTTATTATTACGCACATGAGGCATCTTTGTGCGTTCAGTGAGTTGGAGAAGTTAACTTTGGAGTTGCACACTCTGTTCATGTCCAGTTTTGATAATTCAAATACAGCAATCTCTCAGTGCAAACCATCAATGGCTTCATTTATGGCAATTCTTGGTCACTTGAACACTACTGAAGACGATGCAAACCCACTTTGTTCTGCAATGTGGGATCTGTTCCATTTCTTGCTGAGGGAGCGGCATTGGGCACTCATTCACCTTGCAATGGGTTCCTTTGGGTACTTTGCCGCTCGCACTTCTTTTGCACAGCTCTGGAAATTTGTTCCTGTAGATGCTGCCCTTTCCTACACATGCACAGGGGTGGACATAGATGAGGATGGGTTTATGTCAGAATTGAAAGCCTTCCTTCAGAAAGAGGTAGCCTTGCGAGATGACAAATGGTCTGAAGAGCAAATATGTTCACTAGTTTCAGAGGGGAGAATGCTGAAGAAACTGGTTGAATCATGCTTGGAAATTCCTCTAGTTCCAGAGCCTGAGAAAGTTTCAATTACTAATTATGTGAAAACAAAGAAAAGGAAGATGCCAGATGGAATTTGTGAAGGAATGCCTGAGAATGTTTCAGTTACTAATGATGTGGAAACAAAGAAGAGGAAGATGCCAGATAGAATTTGTGAAGGAATGATGCTTGTACAGAACGGTCTCAAGATCATGCGGAGTGCTCTCAGTGAAACAGACTTGGCGGAGCTGAAGGACAGGTTTGCTGTACACTTGTCGCGCCTTGAGGACGCAGTTTCTCATCTTGCTAGTTTCTCTGATAAAATCTAAGATTCTCGTTGTTAATGTACATCCATCATGATTTCCAATTCAGTTTCTTCTTAGCGTTGAAGTGAAATACCGTTGTGATTGAGGCTGCTAATATGCTATGAATGACTGGAGCCCAACTTACAGTGAATGCACATGAAAGTAACTTTCTTTCCCAAATGGATTTACCATAATACTAAAGTGTTTTTCTGCTTTCATAAAGTTTAATCCCTGCAGAGGACGCACACACACTTGTAAGATCATTGCACATGGAGCAAACAGCGCAACCATGAAACGCCCAAAGCAAAGCAACCCAACCCAAGGACGTGAGAACCAACGGCAAAACTTATGGCATGGTCGAGCACTCCAGGTACTATACTAGGCGAGATGGACACTGATCCGGAGCAGCGTCTCGGCGCCGTCGGTGACGTGCTGCCCGGTGGCGATCAGCGGGCGCACCTCGGCGAAGCCGCAGGCGCCCTTGAACTTGCCGGTGCCGCCGGTGATGGACAGCTTGCACATGGTGGATCCCACCTTGTAGACCCCGAAGAAGTTGAGCGTGTCGCCGTACTCGCCGCCCTCCATCATCGCCGTGAACGCCATCATCTGCGCCGACCCGTCGGCGGCGCTCGCCACGTACACGCCCTGCGCGCGGCCGAGCGGCTGCGCGCCGAGGTCCGGCCCGCTCGTGAGGACGTCGTCGATGACGGTGATGGTGCCGAACCCGAGGCTGAGCCCGTCGGGGCCGAGCTGCACCTGCGCCGCCGAGGCGCCCTTAGCCGGCTGCAGGAAACCAGCGCCGGAGAGGCCGGTGTCCAGCGGGATGCCGTTGTTGCCGTTGTACGTGGGGATGGCGCCATTGGAGTTGGGGATCGGGACGCCGTTCTTGGGCGTCGCGAAGCCGATGGGCCGCGCGAAGGGGACCTGCCCGTTGTAGATGTTGCCGAGCAAGCCGGTGATGGGCCGAGCCGTCGGGCTCGAGCCGCCGAGGATGTCGTGCATGTACAGCTCCAGGGGCTCGTGCGCGCCGCCCGCGGTGGCGCCTACGCCACCGGAGACGCCGCCACCGCCATTCTGTGGGTTGGTGGCGGAGACGGCGGCACCTGTCGTCGTCGCGGCGGGTATCTGCGCATGGGTGGCGGCAATGTGGAGTACGGTGATGACAAGAGCGGCGAGAGGAATGGCTGGCGATTTGAAGCTAGACATCTTTGCCTCGCTGGTACGCGCGCTCTCGTCGTTAGAGCTCAGCAACTCAAGTCCTTGCGTGTATGTTGGTGATCACACGATTGGCAAGAAACGAGTTTATATATCAAATGCTTGTGCACTATTTCCAAGCGAGAACAAGTGAAGCAGTTGTGTTTTCGCACCTGAAACACCTGAAACGAAGAGGGAAGCAGTTGGGCTTGGTCCGCCATTACCGATACACACAAAACGATGACTTGGAAGACGAGGGAAAAGGAAGATACAATCTGTGCCTCGTGATTAACACGAAATTTAGAGAAAGATAGCTGCATCTGCCTACTCCCACATCCTTGCATCAAATTCTCTAAACATAAGATTCTAATTTGCGTATACAACAAGATAGATCCTAATAACACTCAAGCTGTTTTCATCGTTTATGATTACAATTACACAACATTATATACAGCAGCTTTACAAGAACATAAAACATATGACCTCACACGTACAAGGAAAAAAAAGAAGGAAGGAAACACATACACGCCGAATAGCCTCTCAAGTAGCTCTCTGTGGCAATGTCTCGAACGCAGAAACGGTGTTCGTAAACTTCATACGGTGAAGAGGCGCCCCACTTGGCTTGATAGCACATGCAATCTTGTCCTCGAGGGGGCACCGTGCTCTCAACATGGAGAAAACATGGTTATTGAGCCTCCTGGCTTTCCTCATCGCTTCAAGGATACCCTCGTAACCCTACTCATGCACATCATGAATGTCGGAAATAAAAATGAAGTACAATATTATGAGTATCATTTTACTTCAGATCTAGAACATCGGGAAATGATCTCACCTGCAAGAAATTCGGGCTTTTGTTCCTATCTGAATATTGATAAAGTGAAACTGTTGCATTTTCTACTTCTGCCACGTTGAGAAATTGGTAAGAGAAGTCGAAAAGCTCAAAATGCTGCTGCTGTCCCAGTAAATACATGATTGTACAGCCAGCCCAAGCTACAGAGTCACCCAACATTTCTTGTTTCCTCGAAGGATTGATGCTCTCTTCCAAGTAGCTCTAAAGAAAAAAAAAAGAAGAAAAACTATTTATTACCATAAAACTATTTATTGTCACCCAACATTTCTTGTTACCAGCTGTTGGCTAAAAGGTCTGTAAATGATGGATGACATAGATATACATACTGTAACAGATATTTGATAATGAAGTCTACTTACATACTGAAGACCACTAAAAACACGATAAAAGTCCTTTGATGTGGTGATGTCAATAAATCCTGTCTTTGGAGTTGCACTCCATTTACTGTAATGCCTATCCAGCGCAGCACTCGTGAAAGCAAGAGCATACTCAAGCACACTCCCAGAGTTTAGGTTTGATTTGTAGAGTAGACCTGTAGAAATTTCAACCAAATCTCAGTGTTCAACAACAATTAGGATGATATGCCACCCGTACTCAACCCATTCAAGCAAAGACTAACTGGTTTAGATAGCATAACACCATTGATACAATTGAGATAGCCATTTCCTGCCAAACCTTTGGAGGGCACGGGTCCACAACAAATTTCTTATTGTTTTTCTTTTTTGATACTAAAAAAAATCAACACATGGCTGAGTTCAATAAAGTTCCATTATCTAAAAAAAAACTTCAACACAAAACTATCATTTGAAAATATGATTCAATAAATAGGCTCTGCACTTACTGGCAGCTTCAGCTTGCTTTGCCATGACAAGAAATGAAGATGGATTTGGGCATGCAGGACTTGATGCAACTGCATTGGTGGCAGCACTTAACAAAGTGGTAAATGGAGTATTATCAGAGTATGCATGCTTCACTTGCCCATCATTTCCTGGAATCAATCCCAACCATGGAGCAGACTGCATGAACTGTGTAGTGTCTATTTGTCTCTGGAAAAATGAGCATGCTTGTCAGTAAGATAACGAGAGTACTTCATAACAAATATGTGACTGGAATAAAAAAAAAATCCACAATTGAAAGGACTTCCATTGTGTAAGGGAAAACCGCATAGGCCAGTAATTTATAATGTTTATAAACCGAACAGCATAACAGTGAGCAGATTGGACAAAAAAAGCATTAATATGGCTGCATGAGGTGAGGAGACACAAACTTGTCCTGGAGAAATCTTTCAGAGATAATTCATAATGCAAGGTCCCAATAAAATACAAATGACTAAGTAATAATATGGATTCTCTACCTCATATCCTAGGTGCAAAGACCAAGGGATGCTCAACTCCTCTCAGTAGGTGTACTGCAAGACTATACTCTACATACCGCTAAACTGTTTTTGTTTTCAATATCTACGATAAGCTTAGTTTCTAGGACACATGCTTACATGCAACAGCACAGAGAAGGACGGCAGGGCACCATTTTGACTAGAAAAGAAACTAATGAAGTTGCGTACAAACATATGCTCACCAAAACAATATCCAGAAGGCTCATCCAATACAAAGCACTCCCAATTTCCTTGAGATCATGAAGAACTTCAGTTTTCACTTCTGATTTTGCTTCCCAAGTCAATATTTCATGAACTATCTTCTGACAACCTATGACATACACAAGCTGCAGTTAGTAGTAAGTGTGCGGGGAATTTAACAATATTTAATTTGGTATATGGTGACTATAAATGAGCCTGTCAATAACCACAATGTCCAAAGAAATTGAGGCCATCCCATTCTTAACAAAAGACTACAAACTTTTTATAGCTACTCGAACACCACTTTAGGAACTAAATTGGCAATACACCATTTTACTAGCAACTACTTGTCCTTTAAAGGTGCAATATAATACTCCCTCCTTCCAAAAGTCTAAGACTTATTTCATTCTTTGATTTTTCCAAAAGTCTAAGTCCTACTTGTAGTCATTATGTGCTAAATTAAATTGTTGATAGGAACCCAAGAAGCCATTTTAGTGTTTATTGGTTGCATGTTCATTGGTTTTGTCACATGGTGAATGAATTAATTGCTTCTTGGTCTTGGTGCAAAAAGAAATAGGACTTAGACTTTTGGAAGGAGGGAGTAATATAATTACTAATAACACCACTTTAAGACCTATTCGCAACATTCACAGAATCAATTGAAGAATTGTAGAATACAGTCTCTGAGTAGCATCAATATCTAGGATAGATAAGATATATTATGGAGTGCTATTCACCAATGCCATCTCATATTTCAATTGAACTTGAGTGCTCCTAAGATGATAGATGGTCCCTTCAGATATACTATGCTTTGCCTTCTCTTTTGGGCAAGTATTAACAGGCCAAACGGAAACAGAACACACACATTGTAATTTAAAAACCTGGCTGCCACCATTACCTGCTATACCACCATCAAATGAAAGAAGTCCAATAGATTTGGGCAGTGCTTCTTGCAATGCAGTTATTTTTGGCACCATAGCTGTTATCTGAAAAGGAAGAGCAGATACTTAGGTACTACTACCTTCGTCCCAAAAAGACTTCATTTTTCACTATGAATCTGGACATGCTTCTCTAGATTCATAGCCAAAGTTAAAGTCTTTTTGGGACAGAGGGAGTAATAAATGTCAACCATTTTTCCGGGTCTGTTGCACAGTGTTTTTGTTACAAGAGAAACAGCTGGCAAGCTTGCTCTTCCACTTAAATAAATTTTGGGCTATGGGTTAGTGCCCCTTCATGTGCATGACAGCTTAGACAACTCACCTTACTTGATATATGATCCAATAAAGCACGGATAATACCAGGTAATGATCTGGAACCAAGAAGCTTAACAACTGCAAACATATGAGGGATCCCAAAAAAGTCACGGTACAAACCAGAAATGCCCTGGTATGCCATGGTCAAATCCTACAAAGAAAATGGGAACGTGACATAGAAATCAGCGTGCCATTGTATAGCTTGTTGCCAGGTAAAAATGTAAAATCATTTATTGGTAAATGAGAAGTAAAAATTGTAATGTATGAGATGCAATATTGGAGACATCTTACAATTTATAATGCACTGATATTCAAGCAAAATGTGATTCTCAGATTTAATCTCCAAATAATCTGAAAACTTTTTTTACCAACAGCAATTGCTCATTATTCAATGATGGTATCATTTTCCTATAACATCGTACATAGTAACTCCTAACTTTAAAATTGAACTGTATACGCACTTTGGAAAATTTCAACAACATCAGCACTTCAAATTTACAAGTCAAAACAAAATACTCAAATTTAAATAAAAAAACTCAAAATGGATACCAGCAAATATAACAAAGAACCTACATGTGATCCACAATAGAAATAGGCCTTCCCGGTAGAGGCGCTTGATCTCTGAGAAGAGTGATGGGTTCCTTTTAATGATCGAACAAATCGCTGTGTGGTATTACATAGGATAAAATTGGGCAAGAAATCTGTCTGCATCTCATTCCATATCTGCACCAGCCAGAAAATTCATCATATTAGGGTGAACTTCAACTGGATGCATCCGAAATTTTTGCATGAATAAACACGAAGGAGCAGAAGAATAGAGGATGTAATCTTCCTACAAATAAGACATATATTCCTACACAGATCTATCTACAATCCATAGAAGATATTTTCAAGTGCATACATCACACTATCACCACCAACTGGTAATTTCTTGCTGACAAATGGAAATGCAAGCTAGTACAAGAAACATATTACAAACCATGATTACCAGGCAGCCATGGTGAGACCAAATAATATTGCATATATCAAATGCCTTTTTTTTGGAATAAATTAGATATCAAAAACAAGAATAGATGTAACATGGTAGGGTTTAGGGACCCAAACCTGAGAAGAGATGCGACTAGAATAAGAAACCAGCGAAAGGTTCTCTTGCATCTCGCTAAGCATAAGAGAGTAAGAATCCAACTCAAGAAATTTTGATATTGACTGATGCGTAAGCTCCAAAATATCCAACAGTTGTTGCAGTTCCTAATTTGAGAAGACAAAGAAGAATGGTTGATTGACCAGAAATAGCATGTAAAACGCCTAACAAAATAGAGCAGGGTAACTAAAAAGGTCTAAATAAAAACAAAACAATCTTTACCACTACACCACATAGATCCCCACTTTCAAAGCGCTCCAGTAGGAAATCAATGTTTTCCCGAAACAGTTTGTTCATTCTCTG